GAATGAACAAAAGAGCCGGGGACAGCCAAGGCTGAGGGGGCACACTAGGATGTGGTCAGTGGCAAGGTGGGTTAGAAAGAGGTAGACCATGGGGCGTCTGGGTGGCTCAGTCGGTTAAGCATCCGACTCTTGATTTCGGTTCCGGTCATGATCTCAGGGTCATTGGGCTCCACGCTCAGCAGGGAGTCTGCTTGAAGATTATCTCTCTCTCCTTCTGTCCCTACCCCCCACCAAATAAGGAAAGAAAGAAAGAAATCAAGAAAGAAAGAAAGAGAGAGAGAGGTCGACCATGAAGAAGAAGGATAGTCTACCAGCTGGGTTCCATTCAAGAAAGGGTTACTGTGGAATCGCCAACTGGCAAGTCATATCCAGAATGAATAAATGTCAGGCTTCACAGGATCGAAAGGAAAGATGGGAGGTCAGGGTCAGTGACTGGGAGCCTATCCACATACCACCCGTAGAATTATTTAATGTTTTTAAGTCAGCTAACTTTTTTAACCTATGTACACTTACGGAAAAAGGAGAAGTTCTGCATCAGTACTTTTCACAGAAGACTAGGCTAGGGGTGTGTGTCTGTCCGGGTCTCTCTGTCTTCCTATAGGGGAGACATAGTGGTAGGCAGTTGTTTAAGGCTCTCTAGCACTGAATTGAGATTTCCCTTCACTACCACAGCAGAATTACAAGAGAACTGAAGAAATCACTCACTAAGGGATCCAAACGTACACCATAGCATGTCTGTACCTCCAAAACTCACTCAACTGCCAGCTCTCTAAGAAATCTCAGACCAACAAACGAGCACAGGGTAAAGCAGCCAGACTAGATTATGTCTGAGTATACACTGCATGCTTTTCTGTGCCCTAGCAGAAATAGTAATAGCCATAATTATTATAAACCCCACTACCTTTCATATGACCTTCACCCTCTTCCCTCTTTAGCTCTGCCATATTTGTAGAGCTGTCTACTCTAGGGCAGTTACCTGCTTACTCCATTGATAAATTCTTAATCACCCATGTTAATAAAGAAAAAGAATTAGAGGCAAATCCATTTGCATTTGTCTTGGGACCGAGTACCTCTGGTTGGAATTCATAAATAGGAAAGGCTGAGAAATGAAGCAAGGAAAAATCCTACCAGTACTTACTTCTTTTGAGCTTTGGAATGCAGAAAATAGCTAAGAAAAGACATCAAAGAGATTTACTTTAATAATTCCTATTTGTTCAATCTACAATTAAGATGTATTAACTTTGGGGTTGAGTGTCTGACTCTTGCTCTCAGCTCAGGTCTTGAACTCAGGGTCATGAGTTCAAGCCCCGTGTTGAGCTCCACACTGGGTGGGCATGAAGGCTACTTAGAAAATAATAATAATAAAAACTTTAAAAAAAATAGATGTATTAACTTGGAAGATCTCCTATAAAGAGAGTGGCAGGATAGAAACCTGTAAATAGTCTAAGATGCTAAAGAATAGTTAACTCGTTAACCTCATCTGCGCCCATGATTTTAGCTGCCACCTCACGACTCCTGAGTCTGTCTCCAACCCAGACGTCCCCCTGTATCTCACACATACATCGAACTCTCTGGCAGACATCTCTATCTTCACAAGAACATCAAATTTAACATATACAAAACATAATGTTAGCTTCCCCCCCAAACTCTTGCTAGCTCCTGGATTTACAGAGTTGGTGGTCGCTGTCTAGGAAGCTACCCAAGAAAGCCAACCGTGAGTGATCCAGGACTAGTCTCCTGATGACTGCCCACATGTAACCAACAGCCAAGCACACACTGCTGCCTTTAAGGAATTCATGGAACCCCTGTTTTTAGTAGAGACCTGGTTACGCAGAATAGTAACAGAACAGAACTACATAATCACATCCCTATTCGCAGTACAGTTACCAAGACTGCTAATTTTCAAATGATTTGAGTGTAACAGAACACACAACACGGCGAAGTACAAAGTAACCCTTCTAGCACTTCTTAATTACTTAAGTCCCGGGAAGATATAGATCAACCAAGTCAGTCACATGTAACCGTGGCTGTGGGTACGTGTACGCGTGCATGCACGCCTATCTCCTGGCTTCTGCAAACATACCGAAGGGGGAGAAGTAGATATAGAAGATGCAGGATAAAGGGCTGGGTGGCAGTAACCACTCCTACACCACCTTATTCAGAAGAGGCTCTTAGGTTTGAGGACAGAGGTAGAAAGAACAGGCATGGGCTTCCATACATCCAGCCTCAGGAGGGGAAGCTTTTCCAGCGAGTGGTTTAGGAACGGCCCCGTGGAACCCTCCTGCCAATGAGACATGCTGGGAAGTCTAAAAGGGGAAGAGCTTTCGAGAAATGTTTCACTGCTCCTAAGAAGGGACATGTGGACAAGTGCTCTCTTCTGGCCTCTGAATACTAGGAGGATAGGATGCCTGGACTATTGCTGATGGCATTTTAGAGCCTAAGACAGAAGCCAGAGGCTGGAGATGCAGAGCAGAAAAGGTGACAGAGCCGGGGGACCTTAATCAGATTACCGAGTGGCTGAATGTATCCATATGAGGCAAATTGTTTCCAACTGTTTATGGATGATAATAAGTCACTACTGAAGACATCCTGAGGGGTTATTCTCTTACGTAAGGCTGAATTCACCATAAGTGATACAGACTACATAAACGCGGGTGTCTTCTAGCTTTGTGTTCTAAGTTCTCCCATAAAAGAGAACTACGGCAGTAATTTTATGCAGCCCTTTCAGACACAGGGTAACCAGAAGTTAAATATACCATTGTGGGGAGGAGAGGAAAGTCCAACCGGTTTAAAGAAAAAGTGCGTGCTTAGCTGCCTCTCGAAAATGTGTTGTCATAATCACCCCCACTCCTTAAAGTTCTGTCAAGAGCAGCTAGCTGGTGTGTCTCCCATTTGTTTATTTGGGGGACTTCTCTTAGTAAAAAATGGGCAAACATGGGTGTTAACTAGTCTCACTCAAGAGCCTATTGAACTCCAACATGCATGAGAAGCCAAGCTCTGGGCTCTGCGATCCACGGGACCCAGTGGGGTTCACTGTTCTGGAATAGAGCAAGAAAGTGCTTCAACTCACTTTCAAACTAGGCAGATGGAGTCTTTAATCGCTGGGCAATTATCAGCCTGGTGTGCTCTTGCAATCACTGCTTCCGTCCATAAAAGCACGTCTTATACCATAACATCTAAAAACAAATTCTCAGCTCCCCCCTCCAAACAAGTTTATAGCTTAAGTTTACTTTTTAGCATCTATGTTCATTGTTTTCCACTTTGGAGATTTTTATCTCTGAAAAGCCCATTTGAATACTTGGGGGAAAAGGTGTTTCCCTCTGCAAGGTGAAACACCATTTTCCTTATGTTTCAATTTTTCATATGGACTTTCTTAAAAAACCAGTTTTCCTAATTCTGAATTTAAAAAAATTGTCTTATAAATCATAACTCTGCTGAAATACAGAGTAATATATAGGACCTAAAATTTAGAAAATATTTAATATGAAAATAAACAGATGTTTTGAAGCTATTCTGCCCTAAAAAAAAAAAAAAAAAAAAACCTATTGAGTGAGTTAAGACTTTTTATTCTGTCCCAAGAATGACAGAACAATGGGGAAATGGGTTTATTTGTAATGAGGTTTAATTAGACACCAGGAGGAGCTTTCTGAATAAGGACTCATTTCGTGTGTGTGTGTGTTAAATATATACAATTTTATTTTTTATTTTTTTATTATGTTCAGGACGCATTTCTAAGGGAGGCTAAGAAGGGCACATTTTCTTCATACGTTTAGGATTTTATTGCATTCCACAGACATCACAGAAGGTTATGGAGCATCATGTCTGTGGATCTTGTGGTTGCATACGATGCACCAGAGAAAGGGGGACCTACCATCTGAGCTGCAAACTGCACACAGCATCATCAGAGCCCCAGATGACAGGCAGGTGGGTGTGGGTGTTTTGTGGTGGTCACGCGGCTCATCCCATCCACACCAGCCAGTCTGCCGAGAAATCATTACCTTTCTCACGCTTCTGCAACCAGCACCTCTGAACAGAATGATGGCATAATAAAAGCAGCACAAACCCAAGTGTAGGAGTTGAAAATGAAAAGAGGCTTTAATAAAAAACAGTGAGTAGAAAATAAATCTATAGCCCTTGCTTGAAACAATACAAAAGTTCCCATTTTCTTTCTCAAGGGCTCACGAGAAAAGCTGTTACATTCATACAAAAATAAAGTTCCGGAGCACGTCAGAATCACTTGCTAAATGACTAATATGGGCAAGCGTTTACACAGAGAATTTTAACTCTAGGAAGAATCTCTGGTGGTTCGATTCTTTTCTTTGGCAAGTTAATGATCTTCTCCTCCGCACTGTATATGGACCTTAAGTCTGCATTAGATGCTCTCTGTTCTCTCTTTTGGAAAACCCTGGGTGTGAGGACAATGGGATTGTGCTCTCTCCCACTTTACTGAGCCCTCCGCCTTGTCACCCACAAAGAATTAACCACAAGAGGTCAGATAAACTTGGCCCAAAGAGGCATGAGGGGCCTCGGGGTTACATAAGCAGGAAGGACTAAGGGCTTAAGCGTGAGGACCAGTGAGCTTCCCAGGAAGGAATTCATCCTAAAAGAGAGAATAAGAAATCAGGATATGGGGGCACCTGGGTGGCTCAGTTGTTAAGCATCTGCCTTCGGCTAGGGTCATGATCCCAGGGTCCTGGGATCGAGCCCCGCGTCGGGCTCCCGGCTCCGCAGGGAGCCTGCTTCTCCCTCTCCCACTCCCCCTGCTTGTGTTCCCTCTCTTGCTTTCTCTCTGTCAAATATATAAATAAAATCTTAAAAAAAAAAGAAATCAGGATATGCTCCGGGCGCTGGAGGAGAGGGGCAACTGTGAGAAAGACACACTTCTTGCCCCTCAGCTGGGTCTTAAAGCTCTGCCCTCGTCAAGTAATAGAGTCCTCAAGGGGTGGGGGGGGGCGGGGGGGGCCACAGAGTTGATTTTTCACAGAAAATCTCAAAGGTATTGGAAGCATAAGGCAGTGCTCCTTTGAAACCAGGGGTCCGCATGGAGCACAATATCGGGAGGAAGAGATTCTGCCCAATTCAACAGAGCAGCTTTAGTGCACTGCACAATTCAGCTTCAAGGAGTGAGGTCCATGTAGTCAGGCCAGGCCAACAGCCTCAGAGCCAGCACCGGCTTCAGCTTCTGGAAGTTTCTCTGACGGTGGTGGAACGGCAACACAGCGGCAAAGTGACCTCAGTGGGGGACCCGTCCTCAGTAGCTCAGAAGCGATGGGCACCTGCCAGGGGTGGGCGCTGATCCCAGCAGATCTGGGGGCAGTGGGAACAAGAAGTACCCTCAGCAAGGGCACCATTTTGTAGACGTCAGAATCCACCTCTGGCGTTCATTATCTCACCCCAGCTAAAGAAAAGCCATCTTTAGCAAAGCTAACATCTAGAAATTCTTTTGACCCCGATCACAACAGATCTTACGACTCAAAATTTTGTTTCTGGTTAAGAAAAGCTGTAAGAAGAGCAGGCCTTTGGCATTGAAGGGATATAATGTGTTCGGTCTACATTTTTTACAAGTGACTCTAAAATTTAATTTAATGTAGTAACTTAGACAGAGTTGTGGGTAATTGTGTGGAAGTCAGTGGGGCTAGCTGGCCACCCAGCCCCCACGTTCCACGGTGGCTTTACTGAGACCCCCCACTCTTCTCTGGAAGGTGCCACACTAGGAAGCCCCTCTGTGCTCTCACCTCAGAGATGGCTGACAGAGAACAAGATGTTGAATCGTCCACGCAGACGTCTAGACTACACTGATAACTACCCTGAGCTAGAGAAATAAACGTTAATGCAATGAAAAATCCACCCACCTAATATCCTACTGAGACTGGACGGCTAATCTTGGAATTACACAGATATTAAGTCTCCTCCTACAAATAAGTCCTTTGCTAAAACAATAAAATTCTAAACTAATTAGAAACCCACTCCGCTCCTGCCAAAAAGGAAGCGTCTTTCTGGATTATTAGCACAACCACCCACCAGTTTTATCCTAAAGCCAACTTATCTTCTTGTGTTTTAGTGTGGAAACACGCAAGCAAGAGAGTCAGAAGAGATGCGAAGCTGGGTACTGGCCTTATTTTGGTGGGAATTAAACGTAACACATGGATATGAGGAGTCGTCATTCTCTCGCCATGAAAGATCTAAAACTTTCCTTTTTGGTGATTTTATCAATGAAGAATTTTTAAAATCCATTTTTTATTGCTGATCAGCAATTTTATCCAAATAGTTTGTCACCAATAGCAGGCCTGCAAGCAAAAGAAATATATGGAGAAAAGAGAAAGAAATATATGTCCATTGTCACAAACCTTTTCTTCTATGAGCAAGTGAAAATGACCCAGTGCGTCATTGGGAGCTGTGTCAGAAGTGTACACGGCTGTATCAGAAATCCAGAGACTTTAAAAATCTGCCACACTAGCAAGCTTTCCACCGTGCCCTGTGCCTTCTAGAAGCACATCCTCCTTTCTGCCATTTAAAGATAGGAATGGGATAAGAGACTGAAGGGAATACTTTCTCTATCCACAGTAGTTCATCTGGACCTACAAACCTTTTTGCCTGAATACCTTCTACACAGTCATATTTTACCCAAGCACACCAAGCTGCTTCCTTCCAGGATCTCAATACCAATCCTGTGAGAGTTACGGTTGATCCTTGAACAATGCAGGTGTTAGGGGCACCAACCCCTGCATAGTCGAAAATCCATGCATAACTTTCACCTCCCCCAAAACTGAACCACTCATAGCCTACTGTTGACCAGAAGCCTTACTGGTAACATCAATGGTCGACTGACACATATTTTGTATGTTATGTGTGTCATATACACTGTATTCTTCAATAAAGGAAACTAGGAAAAAGACAAGGTTATTTCAAAAATCATCAGGAGGAGAAAACGCATTTCTGTATTGTATTCACCGGAAAAAACCCACGTAGAAGTGAACCCACACACCTGAAATCCATGCCGTTCAAGGGTCAACTATATTCCAAACCCAATACAAAAATCAAGTAAAGTGATGTGTCCAAATAGAAGAAAGTTACCCTAATAGGAAAGGCAACTATATTAAGTCATGGAGGCCAAGAACCTGTCTCTTCTGAATGCCTCCCCAGATGCTGCTCACGGCTGATGTTCCTCGGTATTAATGCCGGTCCTCACCAGATTTATTGCGATTACTCCACATGGCCTTGGGGTATCTGCTTTTCCTCCTTCCTCCTATACACTCAGAGCATATATGGGCTCCCATTCATCTTTGATTTTATTCAAGAAAAAAGAATGACAGTAAGACATTCTTTTCACAAGCCCCTTATAGCAAAGCCCTGAGAATTCTCTCATCTTTATTTCATCTTTGGTATATCCTACAGTGAGAAAAGCTACAACCATCCTACAATTAATTTCATTTTTCTGGTTTGCAGGAATGTCATTAGGAATAAGCACCCAGTATGCCTACATTTGTGGTCTAACAAGGAAGTCATGAGGACAAGGAAGTTGGCACTACTGGGTGGCTTAGGGCAACAGAAGGGGATGCAGGCGGAGTAGGGTGGGGATAAAGCAGCCAGAAGTCAGAGATGGGAGACTCCCAAGACAAATGTGCATTCTTCCCACTTGATGTGTGTGCGCCCTGGAACATTCTATTCCCAAGCCCTTCAATGCCTGTCCTACCATGTCCTTCTCTTTTCACCCTTCTTCTCTTGGTTCTGCTTGACGATGTTTTCTTGGGATAAGTGAGCCGGGGCTGAAAAATTTCCAACTGAGTTTTCCAAGGGGATTTGAAATCTCAGAGGCCGGTCTTGGCTCTGAAAAGAGAAAAGCATGACGTCTGACAATGGAAGACTTCCCTTTTCCACACATGGGCCAGGTATTCTTAACATGAAAAAAGGGGTTGAAATAATGCCCAATGGGGAACCAGGAAACGTGAAAGGAGTTATTCACGCCCAGACCGGATTCTCCCAAAACAGACCACCAACACTGCAAAAAGGGAAAGTATAAGAGTAGCTGTAGGCACAAGGAGGTGCATGCATGTGCACACACACTCATCCACACGCACAAACTGTCTCTGGGTAAGACCTACAATCACTGTACCCCTCAGCACACCCTGTCATCCTTGGTAGACTTCTTTCCATCACCTGAATGAAAGTTTATGGGCTGGAGTTATCATTTAAAGCATGTCAGGAGTTTTATAAAAGTCCAAATGAAGATGTTCCTCTTTATCAAAATATATGTACTGAACTTTCACTGGATAAATGAAACTACTTTCTCTTATTGGATCCTCTCAGCATGGAAATGAATCATCTCCTTTTTAACTATATGTATAAAAAACACCTTGAAGACTATATTAGGAAGAGGCAAAAATATAAATAAATAAAACCAGACAAGCCTGGAGCCCTCTGTACCATCACAGGGTAAGGAAGTGCTCAAAAGATCCAAGGATAAGGGCATTTCCAAGGGATACAGGAGAAGCCTGAAAGAGCTCCGAGCACCCAAAGTGGGAATAATTTAAGGAACAAAATAAATAACAGAATGGGATTATGCCAACAGTGTAAAATAAATATCCAAGAGATCTACCGATACAAATAAGTGATTGAACAATAAATCTGGGGAGCGAAGGGTTACATGTTCCTAACTGAAAAATGCCACATAATAAATTTGGCTACTCCCCAGTCCAGGAGTTGTTCAGTGTGGGGATTTTGGACTTAATGCCCAACTTACAAATTTATGTGTGGAAAAGAAAAAACAGTAACTTTACAGTGAATAAACCTGGCAATCTCTCCTTGAGCCAAGTGATCAGGATTAACAGCAAGTAATGTGGACATGTTCACCTTCATGTGATGAAAACTTCACCTCTGTGATACTCTTTCCCCAAACCCATAATCAGTCTAATCATGAAAAAAACTCAGACACACCCAAAGTAAGGGACATTCTACAAAACACCTGACCAGTACTCTTTAAATCTGTCAAGGTCATGGGTTCTGATCCAGGATGGTGACATAGGAGCTTCCGAATTCGCCTCCTCCACAGACATACCAAATCTACAGCTACACATGGAATAATTCCCTTTGAAGGAAATCCAGAAATGAACTGAACACAACCACCACACATCAAGCAAAAGAGAAAAAAGTCACACTGAAATGGTGGGAAAGACAGAGACACACTCCCGCCATAAAACCCCACATGGGCACAGCACTGAACAATGAGGAGGGAACACACAACTCTCAGCTTCACCCTGAGGAGCAAGGTTCGGACCCAACATCTAACACCCCAACTTCCAATCATTGCACCTGAGGGACAGGCCTCCAAAACACCTAGCTCTGAAAGCTAACAAGGCTTGCATCCCTGAGGCCCACAAGACTATGGCAAACAAAGAAACAGTTCTTAATGGGCCCATGAGGACCTACCATGGTTCACTCCCCCTCACCCCCGAGTTTCAGAGCATAGGAAGCAGACAGAAATACCTATTTCCCAATCTTTCCCAAAAGAGACCAATTTGCATATCTTAAAAGTACAGCCTGAGGGTCAGGTACCTAATTTGTCATACATCTAGGGGCTTATTGCAATCCTCTCTGCACACATGGAAGGCTGGTGTGTACCACCTTCGTATTCTTCCTCTATCTAGCTCCAGGCAGCCTATGTCTCCCTGAACAATTCCTTCCAACATCAGCAGAAGACACATTCTTCTGAAGTGCACGTGGAACACTCTTTGGACAGATCATATGTTAGGCCACTAAAAACAGTCTTACCGCATTCAAGGAAACTGAAATCCAAAAGCACCTTCTCCAACCTCAATGGTATAAAACTAAAAACCAATTACAAGAAGAAAACTGGAAAATTCACAAATATGTGGGGTTAAAACAACATGCTACCAAACAACCAATGGGTCAAAAAAAGGAATTAAAAGAGAAATAAAATAACTGTAGACAAATGAAAATGGAAATCCAGCATAACAAAGCTTATGGGATGCAACAAAAACAGTTCTAGGAGGGAAGTTCATATACATAAACAACTACATTAGGAAACGAGAAAGAGTTCAAATAAAGAAACCTAACTTTACACCTCAAGGAACTAGAAAAAGAAGAACAAACTAAACCAAAAGGAAATAACAAAGATCAGGGCAGAAATAAATGAAAGAAACGAAGACAATCAAAATGATCAAGAAAACTAAGAGCTGGTTTTTTCAAAAGATAAACAAAATACATAAACCTTTAGCCACACTTTAGATAGACAAGAAAAAGAGGGAGAGGACTCAAATAAATAAAATTAGAAACGAAAGAGGAGACGTTACAATTGATACCATGTAAATACAAAGGATCAAAAGAGACCACTATGAACAACTATACACGTGTCGCCTGATATCCAGAAGTGAGTGTTCCTATGAAATCTTTCACAAATCTAAATGGCATAAAGAAGCGATTTCCATTAGTTTACATGAAAAAGATCTTGAGTATTCCCAGACCCAAAAATTAACCTCTCTTAGACTTTTCTGATACCATCTTGCTAATGGATGCACAAAATAAATCAAGATAAATCACAGATGCTCGCAGACACAGTTCAAAGCTACAGTGGCTTAACGGGAGAGGCTGAATGCCGTTCTTGGGGCAGGAGCTAGGTGGCGCCACTTTCACCGTTTGGGGTGGCACTGCCTCTACAAAGGCTCGATGCAAAATGAATGCTGAATGCGTTCACTTTGTCTTTTTTCCTAAGAGCAAAACTCCTGTTCGAATTCCTTCCAGTTAGTGAAAACAAGTACCAATGTAGGCCATTTGTCAAAGTGAAGTGGAGTAACAAGAATTTTTCAACAGCAGGTGATACCTGTACCAACAAATTGGACAACCTACTAAAGATGGATAAATTCCCAGAAACATACAACCTACCAAGACTGCCTTGTAAAAAAACAGAAAACCTGAACAGATTGATTGCTAGTAAGGAGACTGAATCAGTAACGAAAATCCTCCTGACAAATAAGAGTCCAGGACCCGATGGCTTCACTGATGAATTCTACCAAACATTTAAAGAAGAATCAATATCGATCCTTCCAAAACTCTCCCAAAAAACAGAAGAGAAGACATTTCAAAACTCAATATATGAGGCCAGCATTACCCTAATACCAAAATCAGACAAGGACACCACAAGAAAAGAAAATTACATACTAATATCTCAGATGAACACAGATGCAAAAATCCTCATGAAATCATTAGCAAACTGAACTCAGAATACATTAATAGGACCAAACATCATGATAAAATGGGATTTATTCCAGGGATGCAAGGATGAATCAACATCCACAAGCAATATGATACACCACATTAACAAAATGAAAGATAAAAATTCATATGATCAGGGGCGCCTGGGTGGCTCAGATGGTTAAGCATCTGCCTTCGGCTCAGGTCATGATCCTGGGGTCCTGGGATCGAGCTCCACGTTCGGCTCCCTGCTTTGCGGGGAGTCTGCTTCTTCTCTTATTCTTCCCCTCCCCCTCTGGCTCATGCTCTCTCTCTCTCTCTTTCTCAAATGAATAAATAAAATCTTTTTTAAAAAAATCATATAATCATCTCAATAGATGCAGAAAAGTCATCTGGCAAAGTTCAACATCCATTCATGATAAAAACTCTGAACACACTGGGTGTAGGGAGAATGATTCTCAACATAATAAAAGCTATAAATGACAAGAGCACAGCTAACATCATACTCAATGTGAAAGCTGAAAGTTCTCCCTCTAAGGGCAGGAAGAAAGAAGATAAAGATGCCCACTCTCACCACTTTTATTCAACACAGTACTGGAAGTCCTAACAAGAGCAGCTAGGGAAGAAAAATAAATGAAGTCAAAAAGGAAGAAATAAAACAGTCTCTCTTTGCAGATGACATGGTATTATATAGGGAAAACCCCAAAGACTTCACCAAAAAACTGCTAGATCTAATCAGCAAATTTAGTAAATTATCAGGATACAAAGTCAATATACAAAAATCAGGTCCATTTCTATAAACTAAAAACAAGCTATCATAAAGATAACTTAAGAAAAAAAATCCCATTTGCAATTGCATGAAAAAGAACAAAATGCCCAGGAAGAAACTTAACCAAGGAAATGAAACATCTGTATACCAAACACTACAAGACATTGATGAAAGAAACTGCAGAAGACATAAATAAATGGAAAGACACTCCAGGCTCATGGACTGAAAGAATAATATTGTTACAATGCCCATATTACCCAAAGCAATCTATAGATTTGATATAATCACTATCAAAATTCCAATGGCATTTTTCACAGAAATAGAAAAAGTAATCCTAAAATTTGTATGAAACCAGAAAAGACCCTGAATAGCCAAAGCAATCTTAAGAAAGAAGAAAAAAGTTGGAGGCATCACGCTTCCTGATTTCAAACTAAATCACAAAGATTGAGTAATCAAAACAATATACTATTGGCATAAGAACAGACACAGAGATTGGTGGAACAAAAGAGAGATCCTAAAAGTTAAACCCATACAAAAATGCAACAAAGGAGTTAAGAATATATGGTGGGGAAAGGACAGTCCTTAAAATAAACAGTGGTGGGAGAATTGAAGAGCCACGGGCAAAAGAACTAGACTGAATCTCTATCTCACACCATGCAACCAAAATCAACTCAACATGGGTAAAAGGTTTGAATTTAAGACCTGAAACCAAGCTCTTAGAAGAATACATAGAGAATAAGCCCTTGACATCAGTCTTGGCAATGTCTTCTTGGATTTGACATCAAAAGCAAATGCAACAAAAACAATAATAAACACGTAGACAACATCAAAATAAAAAGCTTCTGCACAG